TGTGTGTGTGTGTGTGTGCGTGCGTGCGTGCGTGCGTGCGTGCGTGTGTGTGTGTGTGTGTGTGTGTGTGTGTGTGTGTGTGTGTCTGTGTTCGTGCATTAGTGCGTACGTGTGTGCGTGTATTCGTGCGTGTCTACATGCGTGTGTGAGCAATAAATTTCTCTCATCGTTGATGGATCGTGTGTACTGTCCCGCGTGCCAAATCGGTACGTATTGTGTGGACATTTGGTATGGTCGTTGTATGTACGGTGAGCATAATTATATTAAGAGCTAATAATGGATATGTATTATTAGTTCTTGATAATCCATATATCTGGGCGGAGCCGATAGCCTTCTCATGCTAATCGTCTTACTCGGCTAACAGTGTATTTGTCACATAATAAAATCATGCAGTATATATAGTTGTAATTTTTTTACATTCCGTTGCGTCACAAATTTATTACCAAGGGATAGCAAGTGTAAAAAACGGTGCTTCGCTTAGGGATTAAAATGAGGAGTCGTAAGATAGCGTGACTCAATGCGCTTATCCAGATTCCAATCACATCGCGTCAGCTCATTTTATCTAACGCGAGTGTAAACGATGTTGTCGGTTGTCGACGCATCAGCGGTTTTTTCCCGTATAGAGCTTCAACGCATGTGGCCATCCGCTCGTAATCCGACGGGCTGATTAGCCAGGAATTCGGCAGATCTGCCCCTATATCAGATTCTTCAGGTGCGGTAACTCGACGGAAAATCCGACTGAAGCCTGGAATTCGGCAGATTTGCCTCCATCAGATTCGGCAGTTGGGGTAACTCGGCGGAACCCATGCATTTGGCACAGTGGTAAAGTGTACAGACGCGTGTGGCGGGGACCCTGCAAGTAAGTGTAAAGTACTGCCGATATAATATATGCCTCGTCAATACTTGCCCGTAATTAAGTATAAGTAACACCGCTAAGCGAAGAGGATATCCATTTTGTCCGCGATTCGGCGCCATGCATCCATCACTGTACGTGTCAGAGTTTGCTAGCTAAGTAGTATAGCGGGTATAGCTATAGCGGGTCACGTCGAGGTCCGAATTAAGCTACCTGCATCCGCGCGCTCGACTCTCGCGTTTTCGCCGCAGTCAGAATATAATATATATATATATAGATATACGCATGCGTTTTTATATATTTATGGTCAGAACATTTGCTTCTTGTTCCGCATTGTAATTCGTTTGTGGTACATATGATTGTACGATTTATTTATGATAAGTGTATTGCGACTGTATGTTGTTTAGAGAACTGGGAGCGTTCCTTCGACCACGCCTCGTAGTTTTACATAGAAGGCTTAACTCGGGGGCTAGGTGTTCAAAGTCACCCAAAATGAATAGCAGCTCTGAAACACTCGCAAAACATAATTTCATTATGCAATGAAAGTTTAATTACCACAACTATTACCAGTACAGCCTTACCTCGGGCGACGTTTAAAACTATTGTGACGAAATATCTCTCGACAACCCTGTCCAAACATTAAGGAAACCCGAGGGGAAAAATATATTCAAAGATATATACCCTCTTGTCGACGATGGCATGTTACTTTGTTCCGGTGGCGCTCACTCTCGGTGCCTCATTCACGCCAAACTGCCGACGGCTAATTAATCACACGCGTCCGACAGGCGATACGCTTCGTTCATGTAATAGCTCGGGCTTCCGCACAGGTCGACGTGCTTTTTGAAGCGACGGCGAGAACAAGTAATTGGTCGCGGGTGCAAATGCGCACAGAAGCAAGCAATCGTCGGCGTGCGGATTACAGAGAAGCGCATCCACATCACATGTATGTGTGTGTGCGTGCGTGCGTGCGTGCGTGCGTGCGTGCGTGCGTGCTTCCGCGTGTGTGTGTGTATGCGTGCGCGCATGCGTGTGCGTGCGTGCGTGCGCGCGCGTGTGTGTGCGTATACTATGTGTGTGTGTGCTGCCGTCGGGCGCAGGCAATCAGGGCACGGGCGCCAAATAGATGTGTATGTTCCATTTCCCCCATTTACTATTCGACGCCTATTTGCGCGAATGTATCGATCTTCGGTAATCTAGTTGTCGTTTCCCAGTCTGCAATTAAACACTGATAAATGCAACGCTGTATGAATCGCGCCTGCCTCGCGGTGACAAGGGCATGGCCAGCGAAAATCATTCGGTTTGGGGTCGGCATGAACCCAGAACGTGCATAGACGTGTAAATCTCGGTAGATTTCCTGCTGTTAAGAAGGAATACGTATGAGATAATAGTATAACCGCGTCGATCTATGTCTGGTGCGATACCATTTTGTAAAGGGTGCACCTATAGGCTTAAACGCAAAATTTTGAAATTTCCCGTCATTGTTTGGTATACATGCATTGAGTGGGTCAATCGAAACATTTCTGTATACGATATATGGCTACACTCTAAATGAGATGTATTATACGCGACCGAACAGGAAGTATAGGACGTATATACCAACCACGTAGGAGTGGATTTCGTTTGCGTTTATTACAGTTACGCTTTATATTTTATTCGCTCATATTATATATTCAGCGAGCGATTTAGGCGCGGCGTACAACGATTCAAATTTCCTAGAAGTTTTGTCTTTTTCCATAACTTGATAACAATCTTATCGTCCATGAGTTTGAGGACGCATCTGGCGCCATTAGTGATTAGCTTTTACGTAAAATCGCTTTACACATATACCGTGTATATAGGTATATATATACGGTATATTTTATAGATATATAGATAGAAGACGACATCGTCACTTTAACGGGGCAGAAAATGACAGTCATAACTAATGCGATG